CAGTTTGTTGTTGTATGCATATGTTGTGGGGTCCAGTATAAAGAGTTCTCGTACCGATCTCTGCGGGATTTGGGAGGGCCAAGTCACTCTGCTGACCCCATTCGTGTCTTCGCGGTTGTTTCTCCCAACTGATTGCTTCTTCTGATGAGTCAGGTAGTATGAGGAGGAGGAGGAGGAGAGATTCCTGTTAGTGTGTGCGTAATCATAGTCAGGAGTGATGATGAGAGAGAACATCTCCCAACTGATTGCTTCTGATGAGTCAGAGGGATGGTCACAAATTTTGAACAACTTATTGGCCTGCTCATCTTTCGGATGGGCTGGGCGAAATAACAAATAATAGACTACTATACAACCTCGCCCTGCTCGTTATCTGTACGGCTGTGTAACTTGCGTTTCATTACGAATACTATTGGACGATTCTTTGAAGCATTCATCCCATCTCCCATTTGCTTATCGATGGCTGGGGGTGACAAGCACAGTCGGTTGGTATTATGCTAATGTCCTTGAATATCTTTTCATTTTTTTCGTTTGTTGTCGTACTGAAGGATAGGGGTGAGGGCAATGGAAAGTATAGCGAGCATGCAACACTTTTCTCCATCGCTTTCTTTCGAGTTGGATTCAGTGACTTCTCCTCGTCATCTGTTGATGGGTTGGGCCTATGACAATCATGTAAGTATACAACATACCGAGCAGGAGAAGCAGGAGAAGCAGGAGAAACAGGAGAAGCATCAGATGAGCAGGAGAAGCAGCAGATGAGCAGGAGACACAGCAGATGAGCAGGAGACGCAGCAGATGAGCAGGAGAAGCAGCAAAAGAACAAGAGCAGCAGGAGAAGCAAGGAGCAGCTGGATAAGCAGGAGAAGAGCAGGAGCGGCAGGAGCAGCAAAAGAGCAGGAGAAGCAGGAGAAGCAGGAGAAGGAACAGAAGCAGGAGAAGCAGGAGAAGCAGGAGAAGCAGGAGAAGCAAGGAGAAGTAGGAGAAGTTGAAGAGTAGGGGCAGCAGGAGAGAAGGAGAAGCAGGAGAAGTAAGGAGNAGGAGAAGCAGGAGAAGCAGGAGAAGCAAGGAGAAGTAGGAGAAGTTGAAGAGTAGGGGCAGCAGGAGAGAAGGAGAAGCAGGAGAAGTAAGGAGAATCAGGAGCAACAGGAGAGAAGGAGAAGCAGGAGAAACAAGGAGAAGCAGGAGAAGCAGGAGAAGCAAGGAGAAGCAGCAGAAGGATGATTGTTTGAAGCATTCACTCCATGTCCCGAAGCTTGTAATGAGATCTTAGTGCTGACTTGGCACAATCACAATCAGAGAATTCATGGGAAGTAGACCTCTGGACGAGGGTTGTCAGGCCGGCGGTCCTTGGGATTGATTGGGATTCTCGCCTTGCTACCGGTAGTAGAGATACCTGTAGACGGTGTAGGAACTCTGGTGTTGAGTAGTGAGAGGTTTAGGGTCAAGAGCTCTGAGAGTGTCCATTATAACTTTCTTTAAGGCAGCGAGCGGATGATGGGCTGTGGAGGAGGGCACCAGGATTTCTGCATATGGCAAGGTGGTGTGGGGAGAGTGTAGCAGCTTGGGCTTGAGATTTTTTAGAAGAACAGGAGTACACTGTAGTGGGGGGCAGTGGTCGTCTAGGATTGACAAAGGGTTTGCGCTCCGCTTGGGGGTAGTGCTGCGAATGAGAGAGGCTAACAGTTAATTAATCCTTCCCACCTTCTTTTTATTTATTTTCGTTGGGGGGTGGAGGATCCTTTCCGTTTGCAAGCAATCAAGTCTATGCGAGGCTCAAGGCCTCGAAAAGCCCTACTGGGCCGTCTTTTCAGTACGGTCGGCCGCCCTAAGTGAAGGCAGGCCCGACCAAGGCCTATTTTGGGGTCTCCACGCAACTGGGGAGATTCAGGCAGTTGCACAGCGCCAGTTGGTTGAAGGCGCCCAGGCCCTGGCTACTTCTATAAATGCATCTGAGTCAGGCCCTGGGCGAGATATGCAACAAGGACCCAACACAGGCTGCGGGCAGTTGGGCACGGGTAACTGTCACAGGCCCTGGGCCTGATTCGTTCAGACTGGGGCTCAGCCTCCCGGGGCCTCCCGGAAGCTTCTGGGCCGGGGCCCGGTGCAGCCAGGTCGCACGCAGCAGGCAGGCCACTTCCATTTAGGAAAGTGCCTGCCCCCGCATTCGACATTCGGGCACTGGGTGCATGCTGCGCAAGCGCTGCTGCGCTAACGCTGGCCAGCGCTCGTGCGCTCACGGGCGAGCTGGATGAGCAGGCAGCCATAGCCGAGCCGAGTTGCTGCATGCTGGATGAGGCGCATGGTGGTCCTTGGGTGCACGTGGCGTCTGTGAGTGGGGGATCGAGGTTGTGAGTGATGCGAGAGACATACCTGGTGCTTGAGGCGAATGGCATTGGCCGAGATCTGCTCRTACTTCGGGGAGCTGTTGACATCACCAGCGGCATTGTAGATAGGCTAGATAGGATCTGCCATTTGTAGTCTGGGTGCAGAGCGCCAGATAGGATGTTGACATTGGTTCTTTGTTGATGATGATGAGACTATTCCAACATTGTCACTTATGAGCTTTTGCTGTGCTCTTACTTGGTGGAACCCGTGTTGCAATTCTGCTTTTGGTTCGAGGTCACGACTATCTGGTCTCATGTGTATGATGCTGCTTGGTTTCTGAAGTTCGCTACTTGCAATTTGGTATCAGAGCTGTGGTACGGTGCGCCAATCTAGCGTTTGTCTTCTGCCTATACGGTACATGCGTGCGGTCTGCTAGGCAAGCGGCTGTAGAGAGTGTGTAGTGAGGAGGGCGAAGGCAAGCAGGGCGACCCAGGAGGTGAGGGGTATCGTCAAGAAGGCTACGTGGTGAATGTTGGGTGTTCGCAGTGTGATGAGAACTATGTGATGTGCGATTGATGCTGAGGTGGAACGGCGGTGTAATGCTGGTTGTGTCGAAGCAGCGATTGGTCATCACAGTCGGCATCAAGTCATCTGGTGAGAATATATGTGGTTGGGGGCAGCTATTTTGAGGTATGTTGCACCTAACCTTATCTACCCTCTTCGACACTTTTTACCGTGAGGATGTGTGTTCTGTCTTGAGAGTCCTCTCATATGAGGAGTCGAGTGCGCTCAACCTTGAGAGTCGGCATTGTTCACGTGGACCATCTGGAAGGAGAGGGCGGAGCTATCTGAAGGGCCCTGGACGAAGCACTGGGTCACGGTCACCATGCCAACCCACTGGGAGTAGAGCACCCATGCTTTGCTGCTTTTTCCTTTGTCTGCTTGCTGCGCTGATAGATGGGTTATGAGGGGCAGGCCAGCCCTACAGGGGAGACGAGTACCAGGCGTCTATAAATAAACATCGGCGGGGTACCTTCCAGTGGTTGTGATCGTCGTCTTGTCTGCGACGTTAAAGAATTCCTGAGGACTGCGGGGGCTGTCCTTAAACGCCTCCTGATCAGCCAATCGGTCGGTGTAAGGCTCGCTGCACGCGAGGATAAACAATGTGCAGGGCTGGCCAACTCGGCATACACTTGGGGCATAGGGGCGGGCCTTGTGCACACCTTTAGACACGCATGTTGTTCTGGATTGCTCAGGGATGCTGACGTCAAGTGACCATCAAGAGGAACTGGGGGAGGGGTAGATTCCAGGAGGCCCAAAAGGTCACTGACGCGATCCTGACTCTGAGCAATAGACCGTTCAAGTCAGTTAGGGATGCCACAGACGCAGTAGAGCGTCTGATTTGTGTTCCCGGAGTTCGTTACGACCCCCAGGTCTTACTCACTACTTATCAAAGGTGTCTTCCCATGCCCCTCATAAATCAGTTGGCGGGTGAAGCAAACATCAATATGCACAACTTTCCTTCGTTCAGCAAGAAGGCCTTAGACCTAGAGGCAAAGATAGGGCATGGGGACCAACCCATGACGGATGGAAGGAAGAAGTCACTGCCTCCCAACTGGAAGGCGAAGGGCCGTATTATGTTCGTCGACAACGATGGCTCAACCGTTCAGTTGGACGACGACTTCGAGGAAGGAGTAGGTCAGAGGCTTGCAGCGTTGAAGCTTCAGGGGTTTGAGTAGTCGTTGCCTCAGTTTAAAAAGGCAAGGCGACTGGTAAACGTCGTGGAGGCCCCCGGTCTAGGAGTCAAGTTGACCCCAACGCCCCTCCATGGGAAAAAGCAGGTCTCACTGAGGACGTGTGGAGAGATCGGTACACTCGGCAGGCTTGTATCCGTTGTGGCCAATATGACCATAATCAGTTCAAGTGTCGAAATAAGAAGGTGACCGAAAAGATCCCACCTACAATGGGGCAGGCGTTGGCATCCTCCGTATCCACAAGAAGCAATGTGACCAGCAGTTTTGGCACTGCTCGGAGAAACACGTCGGGCCACTAGGAATAGTAGTTGTTCCTGCTAGGGTCGAGGTGGTGGACACACCCTCACCATCTCGAGAGATGGCCCAAGCTATTGACTCCGTCGTCGTCCCGCAAACACATTTGAACCCATCGAGCCTTTGTTCGATGAATGTGTTTGAGTCCTTACAGGAGCTAGAGGAGGAGTGGTCTAGATCAGACCCGCTAGCTTCTTGGACGACATTGGCAAAACCCCCTAAGGGTGAGATGTTCCTCGGCGGCCACAAGGCCGGGGCCTATTATGACACTTGCTCGACGCGGAATTTTATCAGTCGCGCGTCCGTTGAGAGGTTGCGCTTATAGGGGCAAGTGCAACGCCTAAGTCGGCCTATGGAATCGACCTGTGCCAACAAACAACGCATGGTAGTTAATAACTACCTTAAGGACGTTGAGTGTTGTTTCCCGTACGCGGGAGGGGAACTGAGACATCGCGTTTCGTTCCCAGTCAGTGATGATCTCCCAATGGACATCTTGTTGGCTATGTACTATCTTTTTGTTGCACAACCCCAGTTTGACTGGGACCGAAAAGTGGTCAAGCACACTTTGCCCGGTGGAGGGACTGCCAGATTACGTAAGTTCAAGGCTAGTAGTCTGATCGAGTCCTACGGATGCATGTGTGCGGCCGCGTTCTATGATTATTATAAGCAAAATTCGGAGGAGGGTATGTATCTAGGTTATGTCTCTGCAGTAGGCGAGCCGGTGAAAATGGCGCCGGAGATAGAGGGAGTAGTCGCTAAGTACCCTGATCTATTTGAAGAGCCAAAAGGGGTTGTTGAGAGGGAGATCGTTCACGCGATAGAGATTATCCCAGGGTTTAGTATTCCGAAGGGTAGGATCTATCGGATGTCTCCAACCGAGCTCGATGAGCTTCGCCGACAACTCAAGGAACTCATAAAGAAGGGTTGGATCCGGCCGAGCGTTTCCCCTTACAGGTCTCCTGTCTTATTTGTACCGAAGAAGGGGGGAACCTTGAGGATGTGCATTGACTATAGGGGCCTCAATGCCATCACTGTCAAGAACAGAGAGCCCCTACCGCGCATCGATGACTTGTTGGATCGAGTGCAGGGGTGTCGGTACTTCAGTAAGATAAATCTGATGTCCGGGTACCATCAGATTGCAATACGGCCCAAGGATCAACACAAAACCGCTTTTCAGACCAGGCACCGTATGTACGAGTTTGTGGTGATGCTTTTCGGCCTTTGCAATGCTCCTGGCACCTTTCAGCACACAATGAACCGGATATTTCATGACTACTTGGATAAGTTTGTCATCGTGTACCTTGATGATATACGTATCTTCAGTAGGATTGTCGAGAAGTACGTTGGTCATTTAGACAAAGTCCTTAGTCTCCTTCGGCAGCACAAGTTCAAGATCAACGGCGAGAAGTGCGAGTTTGACCGCACCCGTATCTTGTACTTGGGTCATGAGATTTCCGCAGAGGGATTGAAGCCCGATGACGTGAAGGTGGCCAGCATTCGTGATTGGCCGCGTCCTCAGTCTATGACTGAGATGAGGTCCTTCTTAGGGATGACCGGCCACTACTGCAATTTTGTTAAGAACTATAGCATAGTGGCCGCCCCTTTGACGGACCTGACTCGCCTTGACACCCCGTGGGAGTGGACAGACAGGTGTGAGGTTGCCTTCAGACATCTGAAGCATGCGCTGACGCACCATGAGGTCTTAAAGCTTCCTGATCCTAACAAGCTGTTTATAGTAAGCACAGATGCTAGCCAACATGGCATAGGCGCCGTGCTCGCGGAGTAGGAGGGGTTAAAGTTGAGGCCTGTCGAGTACATGTCCAAAAAGATGCCCTCTCAGAAGTTGGCTAAGTCCACCTATGAGAAGGAGCTTTATGCGATTTACAAAGCGCTAACCCACTGGAGACAGTATCTTCTTGGGAGGTTCTTCTACGTCAGGACTGATCATCGGACCCTGAAGTGGATGAGAACCCAGCCTGTGCTTTCTGATGCGCTGAAACGCTGGATCGAAGTCATTGAGCAGTACGGCTTCAAGCCCAGTACATCAAAGGAGAGTACAACAAAGTTGCTGATGCGTTGTCACGTAGGCTAGACTTTCTCGGTGCGCTGATTACTGAGTTTGGGCAATGTTACTCGCTCTTTGGTGGAAGCCTATCGCGAGGATCCGTTTATGGCTGAAATCATACGCAGACTCGAGGCGAAGGACAAAGCCACTTATGCCGAGTTCGAGTTGGTCAACGGCCTACTGTTCCTTGAAAAGGCCAGGAATATATGTTTATGTGTGCCTAATCGGGAGTCTTTGCGTAGTTTATTTTTAGGTGAGTGTCATGATGCCACAAGACATTTTGGCTATAAAAAGACTGCAGCCAACTTGCTGCAGCAGTTCTGGTGCCCCACAATGATGAGAGATGTCAAGCTGTATGTGGAGGCTTGTCAAGTATGTCAGAGAGACAAGCCACGTACACAGGCCCCTCTTGGGCTTCTCAAGCCCCTTCCGATACCGGAAAGGCCCGGTGAAAGCCTGTCCATGGACTTCATGGACACGCTGGTCACCAGCAAGAGTGGAATGCGATATGTCTATGTCATTGTGGATAGGTTTAGTAAGTATGCCAGGTTAGTCGCAATGCCTGCAACAGCCAAGACTGAGTACGCAATCAAGTTGTTCAAGGAAAACTGGGTCAGAGATTTTGGATTACCAAAGTCTATCGTGAGTGACCGGGATGTGCGTTTTACTAGTGAACTGTGGAAAGCTGCAGCTGCAAAACAGGGTACACAACTGCAGATGACCTCCGGGAACCACCCAGAGGCAAACGGGCAAGAAGAGCAGCTGAATCGCGTTGTACAACACCTGTTGAGGAACTACATTAAGCCCAACCAGGTGGACTGGGATGAGAAACTGGCTCTCATCGCCAGCCTGTACAACAATGCTGTGCACTGCGCAACAGGGGTGAGTCCAAACAGCCTGCTGCTGACATTCAAGGCTAGACAGCCTCTAGACTTCTTACTACCTGAGAATCAACCGACAGCTGCACCTGGTACATTAGAATTTGCTTACCGATATGAACAGTTGATGCAGCAAGTTGTAGAACAGATGCACAGGGCACAGGCGGCGATGATAGAGTCTGAGAAACAAGCACCGCCGCCCATCTACATTCCAGGTAGGGGACAGAGTCTGGGTCAAGTCCTCAGAACTGGGACAGGAGCACGGGATATCCCGTAAGCTCATGCCACAGTACTTTGGACCCTGGGAGGTTCTGGATATTGTCGGGGATGATCCGGACGGGCCGTCATATGTAGTTCAGATCCCTGGTGACCTTCGCACTTACCCTGTCTTTCACGCCTCCAAGCTTGCACCTTCCAAGGAAACTGATCAGTTTCCCCCACGACACTTAATGCTGCCCCCAACCATGGATGGAGAGGTCGACATCGATGATATCATGGACCACAAGGAAATGCCAGTTCCAAGACCTTCACGTAGAGGACGTCCTCCGAAGCCGAAGCTGCAGTACCGCGTTCGGTTCAGACATCATACTGATCCAAAGGAGGATAGATGGTTTACTCAGGAGGAACTGATGCAGACCGCCCCACAGGTTGTCGCCCACTACGAGAAGTTGCAGCAGAAAGGAAAGCGCCACATTGAGTAAAGGAACTTCTCAGAAGACTGTCAAAGTATGGAGGAGGGAATGCGAGGCTCAAGGCCTCGATAAGCCCTACTGGGCCCTCTTTTCAGTACAGTCGGCCGCCCTAAGTGAAGGCAGGCCAGACCAAGGCCTATTTTGGGGTCTCCACTCTTCTGGGGAAATTCAGGCAGTTGCACAGCGCCAGTTGGTTGAAGGTGCCCAGGCCCTGGATACTTCTATAAAATGCATCTGAGTCAGGCCCTGGGCGGGATACGCAACAAGGACCCAACACAGGCTGCGGGCAGTTGGGCACGGGTAACTGTCACAGGCCCTGGGCCTGATTCGTTCAGACTGGGGCTCAGCCTCCCG